AGACAGGGTCTCGCTATGCAGTTCAAGCTGGCTTTGAGTTTACTTTGTAGCCCAGGCTGGTGTCAAACTCACAACAATCCTCCTGCCTCTGCCTCCCGAATGCTGGGATTACAGGTATGCACCACCACTCTCGGCGGCAATTCTTAAAATAATATAAATATTCCAAATTTGTTCAATTTAAAAATTAACATTATTAGTTCAGGTTATTGGCATTTCTATAAAAATATTAGTACCTGATTGTCAATTTCTACCAAAAAAAGACTTGAATTTTTGTGCACAATTCAGGAAAAATTGACATGTTTCTGTTACTAAATCTTCTAACCTATGACCTAATCCATTATTTAGATCTTCTTTAATTATTGCAATAAAATGCTCAGGTACAAGCATATTGTAAGTGGTTTTCTTTTTCCAACCCTCCACCACAATCTACTTTGAACATAGTAACTGGACTTTTATTATCCAAACCAAAATCATCTTACTCTTCATTTTACAGCCAACAAATGGTTTCTATTACTCATAGTAAACATCAAAATCATTTTAATAGCGGAAACACTTCCATATTGTCTTTCCCTATCGATCATTTCCCATTCCCTTTCTAGCAATCATGCTGACCTCATTCCTGTTTTTTCCTCCTCTTTTTCCTCTCCTCTTCCTCTTCCTTCTCTTCCTCCTCCTCTTCCTCCACAGAGACTTGTCCTCATTGTTCCCTTTCCATATACTCTGGTCTACTCCAAATATATGGATACCTCCTTCCTTTACTGCCTGCAGGTCACTCCTCAGATGTCACTGTATCATCTTGCTACTGACTGCTTTATAACTCTCACCCTCAGCATGCTGCCCTTACCCATCCAATTTATCTTGATTGTTATGGCTTATACCTAGATGCCCCCCCCCCATCTTGGTTACTTTTCTCTCATTGCTGAGACAAAATATCCAACACCCAAAATTAAGGAAGGAAAGATTTGTTTAGCTCACAGTTTGTGGAGGTCTCAGTTCATACTCGGCTGGTTGCAAGGCAGAGTGGCACATGGCAGAGGACAACAGTTCATGGTGGCAGAAAACAGCAAAAGCAACAAGAGCCAAAGGGAGGAGCAGCAGAGGGAAGAGCTCCCCTTATACCATATGCAAACTACTTGTCCCAGAGCTTACCAGCACTCATACACATAATCCCAGCATTGGACTATGGATCAATCAAAAATCTAGAAGCCCACCCCATGACTGCATGAGGCTTTGAGGGCACATGCAGACACAAACTATAGCATTCCACTCCTGGACCCCCAAAGACTCATGCACATCCTTTTATACAAACATCAGTTAGTCCATCTGTAAAAGTTCCCAAAGTCCTAACATTTCAGTTTCAACATTGCTGAAAAGTCTATGTCCCAAGTCTCGTCTAAAATGTAAGGCAAACTCTTAGCTGTGAGCTCCTGTACAAATGAAAAGTTAAACACTTCCAACATTCAATGGTACAAGATAAACATAACCATTTCAAAAGGTACAAACAGGGGGATACAGAGCATTGAGACCAAAGCAAGTCCAAAATCCAGCAAGGCAAACATTAAGTTCTGTGGTTTCATATTCAGCATCTGAAGCAATCTGTGGCACACTGTAAGCTCCAAAGGGCTTGTATGACTCCACCCCTGTGGCACTTCCAGTGGTTATAGCTCCCACAGTTTCTCTCTTGGGCCCACTTTGCTCCCTCCTTGCAGCTTTCCTCAGATAATCCACGTTTCTGGCTTTTCCAAACTTCTGAGGTCTCTGCTGCACCTTTGGCTTCACACTCATAGCTTAACACATTGCCCTCTCAGGGGCACAATGCCTGGCCTCCAAGGCCTTCTGAAATCGAGGTGGAAGCCTTCTTAACCTCAGAACTCTTTTTTTTTTTTGGTATCAGGAATCGAATTCAGGACCTTGTGCTTGCCAGGCAGGTGCTTGTGTCACTGAGCTATATCCCTGGCAGCCTCAGAACTCTTGTATTCTGCATGCACCTAAAACTAGCACCATGTCGATGATGCCAAGGTCTGCTGCCACTTGGAGCAGTAGCCAAGCTTTCCTCTTTCTTGGCCATATGGGTTGACTGCCTGGATCATTGGGCACTCTGAACCCAGGTCTGAGGAGCAAATTCTCTATGTTGCCACCATTCTGGAACCTGGTGTGGCCTCCGCTGCCATTCTGGAACATGGTGCTCTGTGGTTTTCTCCTCAAGGCAAGGTCTTTCACCTTTGCAGTTTTGAGGTTGCAAAGGGTGGCGACTTGCTGCCTCTTATGATGCCCTCAGGCTGTCTTTTCTATTTTCTTGTTCCTTCTCAGCAATAGAGAGCTCCTCAGCTCTATCTTTGCAATCCATAGCTTTACAGTAGCTTCCTTTCTGGCCAAGCTCACAACATTTTAATCATCCTGCTGGGCTTTTTACTCTTGATTCTCAATGTAAATCTGGCTAAAAGCCCCCAACAATAGCCATGCTACTGCCCCAACATTCAACTACCTTGAAATTTCTTCTGCCAGATTAATCAGTCTGCTGCCCTTAATCTCAGTCTTATGCAAAGTCTCTGGACACAAGCAAAATGCAGACAAACTTTCTGCCAAGCCATAACATACATCATCTGGAGTCCAGCACCAGTGCAGTCCTTCCTCCCTGCAGAAACCTCCTGATCCCGGTCTTTACCAGCAAGATTTCTATCAACTTTCTGTTCTTGAGCTCTGACCAGAATCTCCCATATAGAACACCTGAAGGCATTGGAGCTCTGCTCTTTCGGGTTACATCTTTGAACCTTTCTAAACTCTTCCCACAAGGCATTTCCAAAGGCTCTTGAACCACATGGTCAGGTACAGTTACAGCAACGACCCCACTTCTCTGGTACCAAATTCTGTCTTGGGTGCCTTTCTGTCATTGCTGAGACAAAATACTCAAAGCCCAAAATTAAGGAAGGAAAGGTTTATTTAGATCACAGTTTGTGGAGGTTTCAGTCCATACTTGGCTGGCTCCAAGGCAGAGTGGCACATGGCACAGGGCAACTGTTCATGGCGGCGGAACACAGCAAAAGCAACAAGAGCAAAAAAGGAGGAGAGCAGGCAAGCAGCCTCTTTCTCTCCTTTACACTGTATGCAAACTACCCACCCCAGGGCTGGTGTAGGACTCACACCCATAATCACTGCATTGGAGTATGGATCAATCAAAAATCTAGAAGCCCACCCATGACTGCATGAGGACTTGGGGGGACGTACAGACACAAATCTTAACACCCCAAAAGCCTCATGCACTCATAGGTGATATTTTTCAGAGGTAACTAGATCTAGAGTGTATGATGCTGGGATCAAGGATGTAATGCAAGGATTAAGGGTGTGAGTGCTACCTGCTCTAAGGGTGGGTAGGCTGGATAAACTATAAAAGAAAAAGAGTTGTTACTTGTCACCTGGTGCTTCTGCCTGCCATGAACTGGTTTTCTTTTGCAATACTCCTTTGCTAAGCCACCCTGCCTTTGAGCCAACCAGCTATGTACTTAAGCCTCTATAAACTGTGAGTCAAATGAACATTTCCTCCTTTACCTTTGGGTGTAGGGCATTTTGTCTCAGCAATGAAAAAAGTAACTAAGATATTGATGAACTCACATTTCAGTGTGTCTAGGATGTCCCAGCATGTTTGCTGACCTGTCTCTATTTCCATAATAAATGACTTAGCATCCTGCTTTTACTGATTCATTTTGCTTTATGAAAATTACTGTGTATCCATTATACATTTGCTTGTTTTTGTTTTCTAGTTCCCCCCAACGGGATTGTGAATTCTATGTGATGGTCTTCATTGTTGACTGTTTCATGTCTGATCTTTGGAACATTACTCAGCCCATAGTACTCAGTAAATGTTTATTTTACTAAATAGGTAATTAACGTTAGTTGTGTGATTTTGAGAAAGTCAGTCCACCTTTGAATTTTGGGGTGCTTGCTCCTTCCTTACCCCACCTAACTTAAATGAGATGGTAAATCTAAAACCCAAGGGGTGCTTGTGGATCTCCCTTATTTCTAGCAGTTTCATTTATGTCAACAGTTGCTCTGTGCAGAGGGAGGACACTAGAACAAAGTTTTCCATAAGCTACAGAAAACATGTAAGGCACAAAAAGACAGTGTTCTAAAGTGGGAATTCCCTCTAAGTAGCACGATTTTTAAAACAACTAGGGTGACTTTACTTGTATGAAGAATACAAGCATAAATACTTATTAAAAATTTTCTGGCTTCAGTTGCTTACCATGTTCTTATAATATTAAAAATATTTTTATGGAGTGATTTTTAAAGGGAATTTATAATGTATATAATTTATATCATTATAATGTATAATGATAATGCCCAGATTTCTATCTCTCACCGAGAGTTACTGCTTGAACTCTAGACTCATATATCCAATCCAACATCCCTCCATGAGAGGAAGGTAGAAACTCAAAGCTTAGGTTTCTAACCTCAGACTCAGCACATTCAAATCTAAACTCATTGTCTGCTAAAACTTTGCTTTCCTCTTTCTCATGTCAGTAAATGGTAATTCCATTCTTTGAAATGTTCAGGACCCAATTCTTGTGATTCCTGTGAGTTTCCTGGTTTAAGGGTTTATAATTTTTATAAAAATTGGGAAGTACTTTCAAGATAATTCTTTCTGTATTCATTGTTCCACCCTGGCTCTGTCCATCCACAGCCACATCCATTGGACCACTTCACGTTATTCCACTACACTGATGCTGTAACCCTCGTTCCAGGGATTACCCCTGTGTTTCATTGTCCATAGCTCAAGCTGCAGAGTCTTCAAACTGACCGATCTGTTCTCCTGCAGTGTCTAAGCCCCGTCAGTCTAGTCTCTTTCAGTGTGTTTTCCACATAGACCTTGTACTGTGCAGTTCTAGATGTGACCAAAATGAGCTTAACATGCTCGTTCTTCCTTCTAACCTTCTCAAACATACTCAGTTTAAGTTATAATAACTTTTTAAAAATTTTACTTTCAAGAGAAAAGAAAACAACAACCAAGACAAAAACAAAACAGCACGAAAACAACAAAAACGATACAGAATTTCAAGACAAGGTAATAGGAAGTTAACATTTAATTGTGAATTTAAGCCGGCTGGGTGCTGGACATCTTTGTACTTCCAGGATCAAGGCGTTGAGCGTCCAAGAGACGCCAGTCTGCTGATGTCCCAGGTTCCAAAGAGCAGAGCCAGACCGGCAGCCGCCGACTGCACCTCAGCAGAGCTGGCCAGAGGTCCTCTTGCCCTTTCGTGCCGGGCGTACGAGGCTCCCCGGCCCCAGCTCCAGGTTTCCTGCAGGCTGTGCGGACCTGCGCTTCTTGGCTGGCGACCGCCCTCGCCGACGCGGCGCCGTCTCCTGGCAACGGCGCCGTCTCCTGGCGACGGCGGGCGCCGCGTACGGGTCCCAACCGCCGGCTCGCGCTCCGCTCCGCGCCCGGGTCGGCGCCGCCATGACCTCCAAGCACTCGGAGAAGAAGCAGGTGCCGCGGAAGAACTCGGCGCACGGATCCGACCGGCCTGAAGAGTAAGGCAGGCGCCGCCTCGCGTGCCTCCGGGCCCGCCCCGCGCCTGGCTGTCCGCTCCAGCGCCCCGAGCCCCGACCCCAGGGGGCTTGCCGCGCTTCTCCTCTCCGTCCCGAAAGCCCCGCGTTCTCGCCCGGCAGCTGCCGGGCCTCGCGGCTCCCACCCGGACACCGGCCCCTTCCCGCCCCGCCCCAGCCGCGCGGGCGAGCGAAAGCGGGACCGGAAGAGGCGCCCGGCTCAGCCCGCCCGGGAGGGGCCTTGGTCTGGTCCAGGGAGAGGGGACGGCGGAGGGGGAGGGGGAGGGGCCGACGGGGAGGGGCAGGGTCGGGGAGAGGAGGAGGAAGAGCGCGGGAGGGAGAAGAGAGAGGGCAGAGGAAGACCTTCCTGGACTGCTTACTCACTTAAATATTGTAAAGATGGATTACATAGACTGTCGTTTCAGTACAGGATTGCCTCGGGAGGGGATACGAGGCGAGCAAACCTGAGAGGGATAAACTCAAAATAAAACAAGCGTGCAAAACACAGAAAATCAGTGTTGAAAATTTTAATAGAAAAACCATTTGGGATGTGGCATGTGTATGCCTTCATGATTAAAAATGGAAAAGAGGACGTCCGAATCCTGAGACTAGAGCTGTTACTTCTATTAGTCAAGGCTAGGGAGCAATGCAGTATCAAACAGCCGCCAAGCCCAGTAATTTAGCTCCAGAAGGAATATTTGACAGGCACACCAGGGGCTGAACGTGCGCAGTGGCGGCCTTGCCCATCCCCGGGCTTCCTGGCTGCTTGCATCTGGTGTTGTAATGATTTTGCAAGGTATCCTTCTAGGGTTCAGCCGTGCATCAAGCAGGAGTGGGCAGGTCTACCCATGTTCCATCCCCCAAGCCGCCAGTGCGTATCAGCAGCTAAACTGGAAAAGAAATAGAAATAAGGTTGGAGGTTATTTGGGCAGTCTCTACCCACACATAAAATAGTGAAAAATGATAGAAGTAAAAAATAAAGACATTCATTCTTTTATTTCATATAAATATGAGATAAATTTACTACTTCGTTCAGGCACTGTTTCAGGTGCTTAACAGGAAATCATCAAAAAAGTCAACATTCCTGCCTCTGTATGACTTAGAATCCTACCTGTAAGACGCGGTGAGTACAGAAATCAGGGCTTCCCGAGAGAGTTGTCAAGTGTTATTAAAGTGGAACAATAGGAGAGGATGCACAGAAGTGAGTAACATATACACAAGGGTTCAGAAAAGTCCTTTCCAGGCGCACCCCCCGGAGGTGACATCCGAGAGAGACTTTAACATTCTTGTCCTTAAATGCTATGTTTAGTTTTTACTGCATCTGCCTTGCTCTAGCAGCAGCATTTGGGTCTGTTGCATATTTTCTCATTTTAAAAAATGCTTTGCTTGGTTTCCCACTCATCGCATTTTACAGTTTTACCCCCCCCCCACTCTGTATTACCTTCCCATTGCTAACAATAAAGTAGTACCAGCTTAGTAGCTTATAGTCACACAGATTTATTATCTCAGAACTGTGAAGGACAGAGGTCCAAAATGGATCTCTTGGAGCTAATATCAAGGCTTCATCAGGGCCACATTCTTTTCTGGAAACTCGAGAAGATTATCTATTTCCTTGACTTTTCCAGTTTCTGGAACCTTCCCACAGTCCTTTATTTTTTCAGTTTCCTTTTTATTATTTGTTTCTTGTTCTTAGTACATGTTTGTAGTACAGAATGATCACATTCCTCACAGGGAATTGGTACATGAACGTAACACATCTTAATTCTTTCTTTTAAATGCCTTTTCTCTCCTTGCCCTCCCTCCTCCCTTCATCTCTTAGTTTTGTTCCCTTACGCGAAAGACCTGTCTCACTATTTCCTTTTGTCTGTCTTTTATTTTGCCCTTTATTTATATTTTGGGTTTCTCATATAAGAGAAATCCTGTGGTACTTAAGGTTGTGCGTCTGGTTTATTTCACTTAACATTGTGGTCTCAAGGTGCATCCATTTCCCTACAAATGATATGTTTGTCCTTCTTAATGGCAGCATAGTACTCCACTATGTATGAATAATTTTTTATTTTAAAAAAAGAACAAAAAAGAACAAAAAAGACATAAAACAACATTAAAACAATAAAAAGATACAGAATTTCAGAACAACATTTTTCTATCTATTTGTCTATTCCCACATTCCTTCATCTGTGGCCTCCTTTCTAAACTGTTTTCCATGTCTCTTTTGGTCTTCTTTCAACGTAGCAGCAAAAATGGCTATCATATTTTAGTCATGTCATGGTAACCCTGCTCACTATCCCCGTTTGGCTTCCTGTCTCACTCCGACTTAGGGCCAGTGCCCTTCCCTTGGCTTAGATCACATTTCCAACTTCGTGTTTCCTGTTTTCTCTGAAATCATATCCCTTCACCTCTCCCATGCACCCGGCTGCAGCCATGTTAAGCGCCATGTTATTCTGAAGATAAGCTACCCTGTTCACTGTATCTGGATGTTTATACACCAGCTGTTTCCTGCATCTGGAACAGTCTTCCCATTGACATCCACATAGTTTGAGTCCGCACTGTAATTATTTAAAAGCTAAAGGCACTTATCACTGTTGTAAAATTTTTTTTTACTTTAAAAATTTTTCATTTTAAAGAAAAAGAAACAATAAACACATAAACATACGAAGAAAATTCCAAAACAGTATGATAGGAGGGTAACAATGATCAACACATTGCCACATTGTGCATTGTTATCTTTAAATTAGTCAGAGTATGAGATAATCAGCATTTAACTGTCCAGACAATATTAGCACAAACCTATCTTTGCAGTGGACTGAGAGAAATTAGCAGCATATCTTATATATATATATATATATATTTTTTCCTTTTGTTTTACCCTTCCTTCTTTTTTACCATTTCCAAAAACCAGTTTCTCTTTCCTTTTGAAGTTTCTTCCCATTTTACAATATCTGTTGTACCTTTTGGGTCACATTTACTCTTTTCAACTTCTCACATTAGGGAGATAATATAATATGATGTTTACACAGTTGTGTCTTTTATTTCACATATGAGTATGGACTCAAGTTGCATCCAGTTACCTGTAAAGGTCTCCAGTTTATCGTTCTTTATGGCTGAGTAATATTCCATTATATAAAAGACTACATCTTTTTTTTATCCATTCCTTGGTTGATGAGCATTTGTGTTGTTTCCAAGATCTAGCTATTACAAATTATGCTGCTATAAACATGGGTGCACATATATCACTGTGGTAGAATGTTTTTAATTCTGGGGAGATACCCAGAAGCGGAATAGCTGGGTCGACTGGAACCTCCAATCCTAGTTTGTTGAGGAATCTCCACACTGATTTCCACAGTGGTTGCACAAGTCTACACTCCCACCAACAGTGGAGTAGGGTTCCTTTCTCCCCACAGCCCCTCCAGCATTAGTTACTGGTTGATTTCTTGATGATAAGCATTCTTTCCAGGGTGAGATAGAATCTCAGTCTTGTTTTAACTTGCATTTCTTGAATGACCAATGGTGTTGAACATTTTTTTCATATACTTATGTGCTGTTTGTATTTCTTCATCTGAAAAGTGTGTATGCATCTCTGATGCCCAGTTTTGGACTGGGTCTTTAAATTTGGGAGGTCTAATCTTTTTGAGTTCTTTACACGTTTATACTTGATAGTAAACCTTTGTCTGAGGAACACACAGCAAACATTTTTTCCCACATTGTGCATTGTCTCTTCACTCTGTTAGTGGTTTCTCTTGCTGTGCAAAGGCTTTTAATAGATGAGATCCCGGTTGTTGATTCTTTGTGATAGTTCCTGTGCAGTCGGGGTTTTATTCATAAAGTCTTTGCCTACACCAGTGTCTTCAAGAGCTTTACCTATTCTATCTTCCAACAGATTTACTGTTTCTGTCATAATATTTAGATCTTTGATCCATTTTGAATTTAGTTTAGTGCATGGTGAAAGATATGGGTCCAATTTTAATCTTTGACATGTGCAGAGCCAGTTTTCCCAGAACCATTTATTAAAGAGGCTATCTTTCTTCCAGTGTATGTGTTTGGCAACTTGTCAAATATAAGGTGGTTGAATATTTCTGGAGTTGTTTGTGAACCATTTAGTCTATTCCATTGATCTTTGCATCTGTTTTTTTGCCAGTATCATGCTGTTTTTATCACAGTAGCTATATAGTATAATGTCCAGTCAGGGATTGTTATGCCCCCTGCCTTTCCTTTGTTGACCAGAATTGCCTTTGCTATTCTGGTCTTTTCTGGTTCCAAATGAATTTTAGGATTGTTTTCTTTAATTCTGTAAGATATGCTATTAGAATTTTGATCAGAATTGCATTAAATCTGTATAACAGTTTTGAAAGTATGGCCATTTTTACTATATTGGTTTTTCCTACCCATGAGCAAGAGATATCTTTCCATTTTCTAATATCCACTTCAATCTTCTTTTTCAGAGTACTGCAGTTTTCAGCATTGAGGTCTTTTACATCCTTTGCTAGACTGATTACTAGGTATTTCATTTTTTTGGATGGTATTGTGAAACATGTTTTTTCCCTAATTTCTCTCTCAGTGAGTTTGTTATTTGTGTACAGGAAGGCTATTGATTTTTGAGTGTTGATGCTGTATCCACCACACTACTGAATTTATTTATTAAATCTATTAGGTTTTTTAGGGCATTTTGGGGGTTTTCTATGTAGGGTCTCATGCCATCTGCAAATAGTGATAATTTCACTTCTACATTTCCTACTGTCATTCCTTTTATTTCTTTCTCTTGTCTAATTGTTCTGGATAAAGTTTCAAGTCTGTGTTGAATAAGAGTGGAGACAGTGCACATCCTTGTCTTGTTCCAGATTTTAGAGTGAAAGAATTCAATTTTTGTCCATTTAGCATAATATTAGCTGTCGGAGTTTGTCACAGATTGCTTTTATCAGATTGAGATAAAGACCATCTATTCTGATTTTCTGTATTGCTTTTATCATGAATGGCTGCTGGACTTTGTCAAAAGCTTTTTCTGCATCTATTGAGATGATCATATGATTTTTGTCCTTGGCTCTATTTATGTGGTATATTACATTTACTGATTTATGTATATTGAACCATCCCTGCATCTTTGGTATGAATCTCTCGTGGTCATGGTGTATAATCTTCTTGATGATTTGCTGCATTCTGTTTGTCAGTATCTCATTGAGGATTTTTGCATATATGTTCATTAGGGAGATTGGCCTGTAGTTTTTTTTCTTGGTTGTGTCCTTCTCTGGTTTTGGTATCAGGGTAATTCGTGCTTCCAAGAATGAATTTGGGAGTATTGCTTCCCTTTCAATTTCGTTAAAGAGTTTGAGAAGTATTGGTGTTAAGTTTTCTCTAAATTCCTTGTAGAATTGAGTAGTGAGTCCATCAGGGCCTGGGCTTTTCTTTGTTGGTAGGTTTTTAATTACATCTTTGATTTCACTAATTATTATTGTTTTATGTAGGATTTTTATATCTTCTTGATTTAACATTGGTAATTCACATGTACTTAGGAATGTGTCCATTTCTTCTGCATTTTCCATTTTATTAGAACATAAGTTTTCAAAGTAAGTAGAGATGATCATCTGGATTTTTGCAGTGTCTATTGTGACTTCACCCTTTTCATTCCTAATTGCATGGATTTGAGTCTTTTCTTTCCTTTTTTTGATAAGATTGGCTAGGGGTTTGTCAATTTTATTTAATCTTTCAAAGAACCAACTCTTAGCTTCATTGATCCTTTGTATGTTTTTTTTTTTGGTCTCTAATATGTTGATTACTGCTCTGAGCTTTATAGTTTCTTCCCTTGTATGAACTTCTGGCTTAGTCTGTTCTTATTTTTCTAGAAGTTTGAGGTGCAACGTTAACTTGTTTACTTGTGCTTGCTCTATTTTCCTGATATGGGCATTCACTGCTATAAAATTTCCTTTTAGGGCTGCTTCCAATGTGTCTCATAAGTTCCAGTATGTTGTATTTTCATTCTTATTTAATTGTAGAAACTGTATAATTTCTTATTTAATTTCATGTGTGACCCATTGGTTCTTCAGGAGATTGCTATTTAATTTCCATGTGTTTATGAAATTTTTGTGGTTGCTTTTGCCATTGATTCTAATTTCATTGCACTTCCTTCTCTCCTCCTATGCTGGTGCAGAAGATTAGGGGAGAGGAGGAAGAGATAAAAAGAGGAACTGAAAAGAACCACAACTGCAGGGAGGCTAGACACCATATTCACCCTCATATAAACACAAGTTCAAACAATGAAGGAGAAAGAAAAGAAAGAAAAAGAAAAAGAAAATAAACACAGAAAAGCTACAAAAGAAAAAATAAATACAAGAGGGGGATAGAGGAAAATAAAAAGAAACAGACAAACAAACCAAAAAACAAATAACAACAACAGCAACAAAAGTTCTACTCCAGGTCTGATAATGTACATGAGATAATTTCAATTCCTTTGCATTTACTCAAGCATGTTCTGTGGGTTAGTATGTGGTCTATTTTGGAGAATGACCCATGTGCAGCTGAGAAAAATGTGTATTCTGATGTTGTGGGGTGGAACACTCTGGAGACATTTACAACGTCCATTTGTTGAAAAGTTTGGTTCAATTGTATTATTTCAGTGTTGATTTTTTGTGTAGTTGATCATTCTTTTTGTAACAGTGGGGTATTGAAATCCCCAATATTAATTGTATCAGTGCTTATTTGATTCTCTGTGCCCATTAATATTTGTTTTATATAAGTGGGTGCACTGGTATTTGTTGCACATATATTTATGATTTCTATCTCTTCCTCTTGGATTGTTCCCTTTACAAGGATGTAGTGATCTTCTTCATCTCTCTTAATTAGTCTTGGCTTGAAATTGACTTTATCTGCAAATAGGATAACTACCCCTGCTTTTTTCTGGGTTCCTGTCACATGGAATATTGTTTTCCATCCTTTGACTTTGAGTCTATGAATTTCTTTTTGAATTAAGTGTGTTTCTTGTATGCAGCATATTGTTGGATCATGCTTCTTGATCCATTCTGCCCGTCTGTGTCTTTTGATTGGTGAATTGAGGCCATCAGCATCGATGGTTACAACTGATACGTGTTGACTTACTCTTGTCATGTTATTTTCCTGTTGTTGGCTCCCCCATTTTTTCACCCTCCCTCTGTTTACTTATTTGCCTTGCCTGGTGGATTCCTTCTGTTGGGGTTTATAGGTCTGTCTTGGTATCACTTTCTATAATGTCCTTCAAAACATTTTGGAGTATTGGCATATTAGGTGCCTCCCCCCTTATTCAAGGGTCTGGGGTAGGATTTTAGAGTCACAGGTAGTTTGTTAAAATCTTGAGAAATTAAACAGGGTTTCTGCTTTACATTTAAATATCATACATGTAGACAAAAATAATACTCAGGGTTTAAAGACATGGAAACTGGTGAAAGTAGAAAATAGGTCCACTTATTCTGTAGGAAATTGGTCAAAATATACTTGGTCAAAATTTACTACAAACTTTAAATATTCAAATATTTTAGCACTATAAGACACTAAGTTTTACACTAGGGAAATTATTAAGAATGGAAAGATTTAGTAACAAGGACAGTCACTTTATTATTGTTTATAAGAGTGAAAAATTAGCCAGATTTGGTGGCACATACTTGTAATCCTAGTATTTTGGTGCTGAGGCAGGAGGATTTCATGTTCAAGCCCAGCCTGGGAAATTTATGGACTTGGCAAGACTCTTTTTCTTTTTTTTTTTGTTTTTTTCTCCGGTACCGGGAACCGAACTCACAACCTTGCGCTTGCCAGGCAGGCGCTTTTGCCGCTGAGCTAAATCCCCAGCCCCACAAGACTCTTTTTTAAAATAAAAAATAATTTTAAAAAAGAGAGAGACTCAGAATGTCATTCAGTGCAAAAGCCTAGGTAAAGAAATTTAAAAAATCATCCCCCCCAAATTTCCAAATGCAGAAGTTTGGTTAAATGAAATATAGTATACAATGAAATATAGAAATAAATATTACATAATTATTAAATTGATACATGGACAACCATTCATGGCCATGGGAAATACATAATACTGTGCTGATAAATGAGAACAAAGCAGTGTATAAAAAAGCCTATGCAGAATGATTTCATTTTAAAAGAAAAAGAATGTATATCTGAGAGGATAAGTAGATGCTAACTCTGTAGTGCCTAGAGTGGGTTGGGTGTATTTTTCTTATTTAAATGATTTGTACTTTTTAGTTTTTAAAAAAGTAGTGTTTTCATAATACTGTTACACTTGAAGAAATCCAAATCATATTTATATTGATATTCCAAATACTGTTACTATTATAAGTGTAAAGAATTTTTCTTTAAGTGTGTATTATGTTTAAACATTCTTTTTTTCTTTTTTTTCTTTTAAAGAGAATAGTAAAAAAATAAAAGAACAATAGCAAAATACAAACAAAGCAAAGCAAGGACATTAAAAATGATACGGGGTTTCAAACCAAATAATAGGGATTAACAGTGGTTGTTGTATTACATATTGTTGTTTTCAACCAAGTTGTTCAGATTGCCAGATGTAAGAATGGAAAATTAATCAAACAAGGGGAATAAGAAGATAGTAATTTAAAAGAATGTTAGAGACAATACATAGTTTCACTAGACAGGATGGTAGAAATTCACCAATGGTTGTTATACTGCATATTGTTGTCTTCACATAAGTTGCTCAGATTGCCAGATAAGCATACAAAATTGGTCAAAATACATTTAAAAATTTAAGCATTAACTGTTCTCTGTTTAAACATTTTTATGTGCAGATGATAACACGTAATAGTCTTCTTGTATCTATTTTTGAGCATCCTGAATTAGTAAGCAGGAGTTAATGTTGAAATACGTTAATGAAATAATTTCTATGGGATCATTTTAGTCTGTAGAAACTTAATATGTGGGAACTGATTGACAAATGTATGTAACATACTCTTCTGATGAGATAATTATGTCATGCAGTTAATCCAATATTTTATTTCAGAGGTTTTAATTAAATGCCTCTCTCTCTCTGTCTCTTTCTCTGCTCCCTCTCCAGTCTGTACCCTGTTGGCAGTCATGTACAATCCAGTTCTGTTGAGCAAAAGAAGGGGAAATTCCAAATCTGGCCAGAATGGAGTGAATCTGACATAAATGCAGAAAAGTGGGATGCAGGCAAAGGAGGGAAAGAAAAGGACAAAGCAGGGAAAAGCCCTGTACTTGTAAGTAGACTTGACTGTGACTAGATTTCATTGTGTTTTTTAATTTTGTAAGGCAGTAAGATTTGTTAAAATGAGAGTGTACTCATTCGTCTTTTCTCCAGTCACCTTCCAAAGGGAAATTTTGGCTTTCTGCCTGGCCTTTCCCATCACCACCTTGTCTTTCCAAGCCTTAGGTCAGAGCTCTGGTGAATTACATTTGATAAATGGGAGGAAAGAACTATGATTTAAAAATCCTAATAAGCTAAGGAGAAATTGAGAGAGAAGTCCGTTTAGGCAATAGATTTTGGACAGAATTGAGAACTAGGCAATTAGAGTGGTTTATGGAGTAAGAGTCTATCGTGCATTTGTGACTGTTACCTGGAGATTGTGGGAAAAGTGGCAGTAGAGAGCTCCTGTGGTGTGATAAGAACTGGGTCCCTCATAATGCCTCAAGGTACATGGATAAAGATCTAAATTTTCTTTGTTTACTTTTTTTTAAGAGTAGGAAGAATTTATTGAGGGAAAGAAGACTTGTGTCTGAGAAGGACAGAAAGGAGACTAGAAAGTGGGTTGCCCATCAACCCCACTTCTCGAGGGTGTTTTATTGAGCAAAGCCATGAGGTGAAGTGGGCTTAAGACGGGACAGCACTGTTGCCAATCAATAAGATTACAAGTATAGTAGCTTAGGTAGTACTTAGCTACTTAGAGTAGCCACAAGTATAGTAACTTTGCCATTGATCCAATGGCAATCATAGGGTGGGTGTGAGATGGGACAAAACTATGGTCAACCAATAAGTATACAACAAGTATAGTCACTAGGGTAATATTGATTAAGTGGGGATCAAATGGGGAAACAAGTCATGTAGCATGTGCCATGGGCAGACAAAGACTTTCCTGGAAGCAGGGGGTTAAGGAGGTCTGGTCCTCCACCCCAAGGTGATTGATGCCTACTTAGAATATCTATCAATCACTGCTGTTCATCCCTAGGGAAGTATATGGGTGAATAGTTCTTCTTTTTCTTGAAGTCTGGCCTTTTTACTGAATGTGCCTCAAGCCACGGCTGTCTTGTGCATTGATCTCTTGAGGGCCCAGCCCTGTCTGACTGCTTACAACATTTCTACCTAACTTAGCTATCTATAATATTCACCCCTTTGAAGAAGTACCCCTAATTGCTGTGAGGGAGCAAGGGGTGAAGACAGATCTGGCTTCCAGCTGAAGAGGGTTGTAGTTGTGATCAGCAGTCAGAGGTCAGAGATCAGCAGTCAGTTAAAGGATCTATCTAAAGGCCCTAATAGGTGCCAGGTGTTCTTGTCTTGGGTAGACGTACAGCTGTAAGTCTGGAGGAGACAAGGTCACAGGAACAGTTAAGTATGCATGGGCCAAATAATAAAATCAGCAGGATAAATTATGAATATAGCCAACGAAGTTTTCCACCAGGAAGAGCCAGTAATAGCTTTCCATAAAGAGGATAAGGAGAAGGTCCAGGGAATTTTAGAATTTGACAGTCATTAACCTGTGGTCTAATATCTAGAACAGCTATTGAGACATTAGCAGAAGGATCAGGAATGTACACACAACATTCAGCTTTTATAATTGTACAAGTATCCCCTGTGCTGCTATTACAGTGTCTAATGCCATTTGATTTTTGCAGAATGGCTTGACTTCTTTATTCAGGAGATGGAGATCAGCCACTGTGTTGTTTAAGGCCTGCTGAATATAGTTAGTTAAGGCCTCGAGTCATGTCATGTAAAAATGTGTTACATGACATCCTCTAACCCTAGGGAAGAGATAAAAATAGAAGCCAGATGGACATAGCAGTGAAACCATCAGTGCCATAGGTGGGGTAAGTTTGAAGGTTTGTTAGTGCTTTTGACACTTCTGCCTTGTAACCATGCCAATCCCAGTGTACATCTTCCTATCCATCCAGGGGTTCCACAGGACCAGTGAGTATCATTGGGACTGCCCATCTAATTCTGGGGCAATTAAACCAGTTTGTTGTAAACCAATCTTCAGCCTATAAAGTAATTGTATGTATATCTTGTTCAGGGGGTGTCCATCCCAAGTACTTAGTAGAGTTAGGCCTATGAGAATAGGAGTGATTTTTCTGTTCCTAAAATAAGGGGGCCTTTCTACTAAGATGTCCTATAGTGGGGGTTAACCAGAGATAATCAGTCCATATCTGAAAATAGCCATCTTGAGATCTATGGTTGTTGGCCCTCAGGAGAGGGCCCTTACTTTTATTTAATAGGGGTCCTACTAGAGCCTTTAAGGAGACTTCAGTGGCATTGTTAGGAAAAATTCTATTAAGTCCAGAATCACTGACAGTATGGTTTATAAGTTACTCAGCTACCTTGTGGGCTAAACTGTGAACCTTGCACTCTTTCGTAACTCATCAATGTAGTCTTGTAGTTTATTCCAGTCTTCTCCTTGGAGTGGGGATACCCACCAAGGAAGTCCAGATGTATTTGACAAGGGGAACAGGCCACATATCCAGCAAGATGTTTGTAACAACTCTGCGTATGCTTGTGCCCACCTTAGAAAGGAATTATATTCTCCCTTAAGTGGTAAAATGATTAGTAAAAGGGTTAAGAGTAACATCTTAGATTACTTATCTGAAGACTGTTTTTTCTTGAACAAGAATCTTAAGTCTTCTATAGGGTCACAGGAGTATTCCAATAATGGTTGCTTACATTCAGTGACAGTCTCTGGTTCCCAGGACTTGAGTTGAGTGTGGTGTATCCAGGAGTCTCCTATCTTGACAGCTGATGGAGTTAAGAGGATCATAGTGTATGGTCCTTCCCACGTTGGTCCTAGGGAAGTGGATGATGAGGGAAGAGACTTTACCAGTATTAAGTCTCTGGGATAGAATATAGGATTTCTCTTTTTTTTAGGCTGAGCTTCCCTTTAATGTTGAAGAGTCTATTGGAATTTATCCAGGGAGGTGACATCCCTCAGTAAGGCATCTGTTGAAAAGAGTGGGAAAAAACCGCATCCATAAAGCATTTCAAATGGACCGAGGCCTAGAATTTAAGAAATAAAATTTCTTATTTTGATGAGAGCTAAAGGTAGTGAGGCCACTGTAGGTGGGTCTCCTGGGCCATTTTGTGAAGATGTCTCTTTAGGGTCTCATTCTTCTACCTTTCTTGATGATTGTAGCCTCCATGAACAGTGAAGGTGATAGAGAATGCCCAGCATCTGAGAGACACCCTGTGTGACTGTTGCTTTAAAAGAAGGCCCATCATCACTCTATAAGCACTTAGAAAGTCCAAATCTGGGGATAATTTCTGAGACTAAAACTTTTATCACTACTTGTGCCTTTTCTGTTCTACAAGGAAAGGCTTCAACCCAATTTGTGAAAGTATCTACCCAGTCTAATAAGTATCAAACTCCTTTAGTCTTTGGCATATAAGTGAAATAAAGCTACCAGTAAGTCTAGAAACTGTTCTTAAGGGGCTAGAATAGCAATTATATCCCACTGGCTCTTAGACCCCTCTGTTGATGGAGTCTGATATTTTGTTTTAGGTCCTTCTAGGTTTAGCTGTAATTATCTCCAAAATTTTGATGATTTATGAGAAATACATTATAACAATTAACACATTAATTTTGACCAATGAAAAACTCAAGTTCTTGTACATAGACAACAATACATATTGTATTTGTAAAACCAGTCTAAGCATTATTCTGATTAGTTGGTAACCTGGTACATATATTATAGCATTTTGACAGAATAAAATATCTCTCCCCAGGGTGGGAGCTGGGCTTTAGGCATAACTAAAAGGAATGGGTGAAGAGAAATTCTTCCTAGTTATAGCCTAAGTGAGTTACCTTTTATCTGGTAGCTCCTTTTTATTGAAATATGATGGCTGGAAAGAAGGCCAGGACTGGAAAGAAAGACAAAGAGACATGGGCCAATGTGCAGCAATAGGCTATTTTTTTTCCCTCTGTGGTCATGATTATTCAGCGCTCCTCTGTAGAGATGACAGGTGGAGGTGACAGTCCAGCCAGAGGGAGGAGGCAGAGTGTCCTGGGGCCCTTTAGTCTTGTTAGAACAACTGGAAAGATGAGTCTGAGCTCTGGGGCCTCCACCTCAGAGTGCAGTCTCACATGTGGTGGCCACCCTTTGTTTACTTTTGGTCATGTGAACATGATCTGTTCCTGAGACTGGAGCTATGTTAGGTTACCTCCACTTACCAATTATGATTTTAGGCTCTTTTGACTCTTTAAACATGATTCTGTGTTGTGACTACATGTCTAAATTGCATCTAAAGCATGATTCATTTATTTGATGCAGCAACCCATTTAAAAATATCTATCAAACACAATAAAATTTGCAAACACAAATTGCCAAAATGACTAGATGAACTATGGTGTCTTTATTTTACATAAAGCATTCTAAAATGGTGAATATTAGCATGTTTTGTGCACAAAACATAGAATCATAAATGGTATGACTTACATCAGCGATATTTTTCTCAAACATTTTAATAAAATAACTGCTGATGCTATTAGCACTTGAAGAGTAGTGTCAAAATCAGTGATGCATGAGGAATGTGTTCTAAACAGCCTTTTAGAGTAAGTGTGAACGGTGAGATGCAAAGGTTGCTGAACCTTCTGGGTCCAAATGAAAATGTGCATATTTTGGATTTTTAGCAATAATTCAGAAGTTATGGGTGTTATGTGTATGCATCTAATTTTAAAATTTTAAAACATTTGCTAAACTCTTAAGCCATGTGTATGAAGGGCAAGTTGTACAAATGAGTAAAAAGTAACAGCTTTAGAGGCCTGGTAACTAAGAAGTTTCATGGTGCTGTGAAGAGATGGAATTTTGGTACATCTAGGTGAAAGGACCCTGATAAGCACTCCAGCCTTTTAGATAGTGCCCAGGAATAGGTGTAGCATTTGGTAGGAAGTATGGGCAAACCAAGGTTCACTAGCTCTACCCAGATCTGAGACAGATTGTTAACTGGGTCAAGCAAATCTTGAACTCTCCTGCCAAAGGAAACAAATTCATGTGGGAAGACATTATCCAGTGTATATCATTCAATCCAAAATTACTAAGCCCAAAGAGAAAAGAACCCAGTGAATGAAAACCAAGAGGAAACATCAAATAATAGAAACTGACACAGGTAACTTTAGATTTGTCAGATAGGGAACAGTAAAATTACTTAATTAATATTTGTAAGAAAGAAAACTGTGAGGGACTTGCAGAAGTCTACGGTAGCTCATTGGAAACTTCAGTATTTCAAAGACTCATTCTTCGGGCATTTTGGCTAGATGCTGCACTGCCTTTGTCTCCATTCAGATTCCAGTGTCTTAAATGTGACAATAACCACATGTTGCAGATAAACATATGCCCTTAAAATGTTTAAGGACCAGCCACTGTCTTCAAGTATAACCTGTTCTCAGGCTATAACAGATTTAGGGTAAAAATATAATTACTATGAAAACCACAATACAGTGTTTTTTTTCTTCCTGTTTCTATCAGTGCAGGTGAAATTTAGTTGCCCTTTTCCCATACAGATAATTTACATTCCCCAAGCACTTTATTCACACTCATAGCATGTTTCATGTTATTTCTGTGAGGATCTTTTCTTCCCAGGACTTTCTGAGCTGTGAGAACTCTAACATAGTAATGACCCAAAAAGTCTTCAACTAACTAGATTGGTACTATTTGAGAGTAGATATTTGAATATAATTCCTTCTCCAGAGTTCACTAATTGACCCATAATAAAGTTCAAAAATTAGCCAATTCATTGTATCTTGGGCATTTATCCTAGAGAAAGACTTAGGTTCACACAAAATTCTGTAACCTATATTCATAAATGTTCCAAGCAGTTTTATTGGTAACACCATAAACCTAAACCTTAGATATCCTTTAATAGGCAAACAAGCAAATACATATGCCATGAAATATTACTCATCAATAAATAAAAGCAAACTATACATACATGCAACCATTTGGATGAGTCACTAGGAGATTATGCTGAGTATTTCTCTTCCGAAAGAGAAAAAAAGACAACCTAAAAGGTGTCATACCATGTGCTTCTATGTAATATTACTAGAATGACAAAATTATAGAAATAGAGAATAGATTAGTGATTGTCTGGTGTTAGTTTGGGAGTCTGGTTGGGGCTGGGCTGGTTAGTGCAGCTATGAAAGGCACGGGAAGGGTACTTGTGCCGAGCCTGCCCTTGGTGTTGACTGTCAAGGTTGGTGTCCTGGCTATGATACTGCACAAGAGTTTCACAAGATGTTTCCATTGGAGAAACCAGGTTAAGGGAACCCAGGAACTCTTATTCTTCTCTACAGCTGCACATGAATGTATACAGTAATGATCTCAAAAGAACATTAATTTTAAAAGTTAATAATTGAATATCAGGGCAAAATTTCAAGTTTTATTTACACATAATCTTACTTATGATTCCAACAGTACCAGTTCTCAGTCTTCTTTACTCAGGTAAAAACAAAACAAAATGTTTTCAATGTGTCCACAGACTCGTATTAAATAGTTTCCCCCACACCTAACAGTTCACACTTGTTTGGGCCACTACCTCTGCAATCCAGCTGCTACTCGATGCTCAGAAGGATATACACATTTGTTAATTTCAGTATCCTCCAAGTACTCCACGAACTAGTTCTGAGAATAAATACACAGGTTGCTCTATAAATGCTTATTTCTTGATCAAATCTGTACACTTACATTAATTAGGATTGAATTGTTTTTATTTTGATAAAACCACAGAAAAAGAAGCTCAATTCATATTTTTTATATAGCATTTTTTTGAAGATCCTGAAGGAAAGATTGAATTGCCACCATCATTGAAAATATATTCCTGGAAACGTCCACAGGATTTTGTGATAAATCGGGTAAGAAGTATTTTTACTATTAAAGAAAATACTCATTAACTATAGGGATATAATGGCCTACAAATTTCCATTTTTGAAATGATTTAGAGTAAATTTTCTTGTGGCATTCAGTGAGAATAAATAGGCTTTTTTGCATTTAAATCAGAAATCAATGTTTATCAGTATGGTTTAGTAATTTTTTATACTGGTTTCCATGAGATTGTTAAATTTTTATTTAGAGTCTTGAGGTTTATACTTTTCTCCAAAATGTCAAATTATAGCCGGGAGGTCTATTTTCTCTGATGTTTGCTAGCATTAGTTTTGTAGTCCAAGAGATTTACACTTAGGTTTTCAATTCGGTGGATTCTTAAGGTCTCTTCCAAAGATCACCTTTATTTTTGGACTCTTATGTTTAAACATTTGAATGATCTTGATTGAGACACCACCTGAAAAACCTTCATTCAAAATAACACATACTTTAAAACTGTGGCCATGTTAGTCTGATGTCTCTCTCTCTGTCTCTCCCTGTCTCTCTCTGTGTCTCTGTCTCTGTCTCTGTCTCTGTCTCTGTCTCTGTCTCTGTCTCTGTCTCTCTCTCGTTTTGTTTTGTTTTTGAGACAGGATCTCACTGTGTATTCTGTGCTGGCCTTGAACTCACTAGGTAGCTCAGGCTGGCCTTGAACTAACAGTGATACTCCTGTCTCAGGCTTCTAAGTGTTGGGATTTAGGAGGCTATTTGTGTGCCACCGTGCCTGGCTATTTTTGCCTAACTTCTGAAAAACTGCATTAGTTTGAGTGTATTTATTTTTTCCAGTGGTTTACTTGTCATTAATGCTTTTTTCTCCTGTTTGATTGTCATTTAATGAATAAAAAAATTAATAGGTTATATTATTTAGTAATAAATGGTTATAATGGAGCTGATTTTTCTATACATTTGTAGACTCTATTAAAACTGTCTCTACAAAAAGTGATTTTATTACTGAAAGTTTTAGCCTTCATCAGCCCTGCTATTAATGCAAAAAAACCAAAAAACAGAAAATCTTACCACAGTTACTAGGAGAGAAAGTTGGGTATACCTAAATTCAATAAGATTTACTAAAGTGAAAGAATAAAAATATATACTTTCTGAATGCCCACTTGTAAGAGACTTTTAAGTAAATCAAGTATTCCTGAACCATGCTTTTAAATTAAATTTAAACTGGTGTGGTGGTGCGTGCCTATAATCCCATCATTTGAGAGGCTGAAGCAGGAGGATTGCTGTGAGTTTGAGGCCAGTCTGGGCTACGTAGTGAGCTCAAGGCCAGCCTGAAGTGCACAGTGAAATCCTGTGTCAGAAAAACAAAAAAAGCTTAATGCTTAGTTAACATGGACATGACTATAAATTCTGTGATGCCAATATAATGTACTTTATATTGATATGCTATTAATATAAGTCCATGGTTTACACTTCATGAAAATAGGTAATATGAATTTCATGAGGTAAGAGTCTTATAAATTTGAATAAGTAGAAATGTTTTCTGAACTGTCTTTTTCTTTTTTTGTATACTTTAGTTCCAAGAAATAGAGATACTTTTGTAGTAAAAATAAATTCATTCATTGTTGCTCACGACACCTACACCAATGGTATCATAATGCTGTCAGCTCCTATAACTAACTCTCCCCTCCCTCTGCATGGCTGCCTTCTCCTGATTCACAGTGATGGAATATGGATCAGGGCAGACAGAACTGAAAATATGGCTAAGTAGGAAAGCTCTACCTAGCAGGGTGTTTTTCAAGCCCTAATGACTAGGTCCACAGTGGCAACTACTATTTAATTGACAGTCATTAAATATGTACATGTATAAAGTTGAACCAAAAATCCTGCACACAGTAATGATCATATATAAAATGTACTCTATTGTATTGTTTCTCTCCCTCTCACACTCTGCAGCCTTGACCCACTAAACTGATTTCATGAATCACTAAGTAATTTCAACTCTCACTTTAATAAATGCAGTCCAGTCTCAAACATACCATAGAACTCTAAGCAAAAGACTAAATCAAAAGACATGATTTAAGTCAGAGAAAAGGTTTCAGGGTCAACATGAGGTGTTCCAACCAAAAGGATTCATGAGCTGTGTTCACAGGGTTACAGCCCAGATTTGAATAGGTTTTGAGCATGAGAGATTGGGAGCCCAGACCCTGAACACTGATTTTATTGAACATTCTAATATATCTCACGATTTATTCTGTCTAGGTGCAGCTGTAGGGAATAGTGGTGCTAAAATGCCATTATAGAGATCTTTATGTTGATATTTGTTGTCTTCTACAAAGTCAGTTTTTACTGTTCATTGTGGATAACTGTTAAGTGTAATGTTTCAAATTTTTGGCATCAAATACTTAATCTGTGACTAATTGCTTTTATTGCACACTGGTGCTGTGGAAAATTATGGGCATTCCACCATAGTCAAACTAGAATAAACTGTGTTTATAATATATCATCAGAAGAGTCAACTCATGGCTTCAAGATAGTTTTAGGTAAATTTTTCTTTAACATAGATAATTTTATTGATTTTTTCAGGTGCTAGTTGTACTGGTGACTAAGGATAACTGATTATATTACCATCTATAAAAATCTAATTCGGTAATAGACATTGCAGAATGTCTAATTCTCTAATAAATATTTGCATGTTTGTTTAAAATGTTAAATATATAAGCTTTGATGGGCATTTTAACTCATTTAAAATATTCCAAGTCATATTTTCCTATTATTTTATTATTTGTAGAAATTAAATAATGATATTTAAATTTTAAAATATGACAATATTTAAAGCACATGTAATTTTTTTTTAATCGGAAGTAAAGGTTTTTTTTTCCATTTCCAGGTGATAGCAGCTTCAGGTTTAACTTGAATGGTTAAATTTCAAATCACTTTTAAAACTGTGTATGCATGCTGTTTATCTGCATATATTTTATTTGTATTTTAAAATACTCTAATTTATCAGCATTAAATTCAACTAATTTCACCAACAGTTCTAAGTAAAAATTATTTTAGGAAATAATACACTTATTTTTATTTATTCTTATTCCTCTGTTTGTGAAAAATAGCATCATGTTTAACCTATTTCATTAAGCTATAGCTTATTAAGTTGTGTTTCCTTTATCATTGTTATGGGATAATACCTATGTATATATTATTATTTCAGGCTCCAGTAGTTGTGAAAGACGAGATCACATTTGACTTGTTTTCAACAAATGAACATTTATTCTGCAGTGAGGTATGTAGGGAAGTATGAACCAAAGTCTCATTGCAGAATGCTTTTCAGACCTGGGAAAACATCTCCCAGACAGCCAAGCTCGGTTTTCCCTTGCTTGCCTTTAAGTTTTAATATAATAGTATTTCTTTTCCCACTTTTTTGAAATACAATTGAAAATTAAAAATTGTATATATTTAGGGTATATAGTTGGATGTTTTGATATATGTATACAATGTGGAATATTCATCACAACCAATAAAATTACCTCATATTTTTGTATGTGGTGAGAACACATAAAATCTACTGTTGTAGTTCACTTTTTGTAAAAATCATCAGTGCTTTCAGAGTCTCTGTCTCCCTGTGTTTTTCTCCCTCTTCTTTCTTTCTTCTGCCCCTCTCTGTTATGCAGATATGTGGCCAAATGAAAGTTAGTTGCAAGCAGAGGTCACTTGTATTAGGCCTTTCAGTTTGTAGTGTGACTATATTTCCTGGAAACAAAAGCAAGACTCATGATTTTATTCTGTAGTTTAGAAATCAAAATACATTTTATATGAAATTTAATACTATCAGAAGTAGACTTTTTCACACCCCTCCCTGCAGTACCTATAATTGAGAAATAACCAATTAACACTAATGTCCTTTGTTTCTAGTTGATGAGGTGGATTATCAGTGAAATCTATGCAGTATGGAAGATATTCAATGGAGAAATTTTGAGCAATTATTTTAAAGCAGCTTCTGCAGAACCTCCTATTCTCCTCTGGAAGCCTTGGGAACATATATATTCCCTGTGCAAGGCTGTGAAAGGCCATATGCCTTTGTTTAATAGCTATGGGAAGTATGTGGTGAAACTTTATTGGATGGTAAGTTTAAGATTATGTGCATTGAAATTCATGTGTCTTTCATATTGAAATATATTTGTGAAACCAAAAAACAAGGCTTGAAAAAATGTATTCGACTTTGGAAATCTCAGGCTAAGCCAGTCATTTAGCTTATCTCTTTAGGAAACTTAGCCTAGCAGGGATCCCTGATTCCTTGGCCACAGATCAGTAACCACTCTGTGGCCTTTGGTGAAGCCCACACAGCAGGACGTGAACAGTGAGTGAGAAAGTGAAGTGTCATCTGTATTTACAGCTATTCCTCATCACTCACATCACCCCTTGAGCTTCATCACCTGTCAGATCAGTGGTGACAGTGACTGTCAGAGGAATGTGAACCTTTCTGTGATCCACATATGTGAGTGACCTAGGTGGTATGCTCCTTATGAAAGTCTAATACCTGATGATCTGAGGTAGAGCTGAGGTGGTGATGCAAGCATTGGGGAGCAGCTGCAAATGCAGATTAACATTAGCAGAGAAGTTTGACTGCACAGAGACCACAATAAATCAGTTGCTTGAAAACTCACATCAAAACCTTATCAGTGAGTGGCCAGTGACAGTTAAACTGTATTTGGTGGCAGGCTTTCAGGTGGTAAATGAATTGATGTACTTCAGTTGTATAGCTGCATCTGATGGTGGGCTTTAAGTCAAAATCCAACACTTTTTTAGTCCACACTTATTTTGATCCACCCATTATTTTATTTACCACTTCTATACAGGCCTCTTTCCTGAACTGTACACTTGTCTCAGTCACAGCTTTGGTAAGCCTGCAAGCTAACTTGAGCCAAAGTGAGTAAAAGACAAATGTCATTGGAGAGTTTCTTGGAAAAGGGGAAAAATCCAGTGGTGAGACAGCAGAAGACTAAGACTTCCAACCAAAAGAAAGCTGAATTTAAAAGAAAATATCAAGATTCTACTTAAATTATGGGCTGTCTTAGTTACTTTTCTCTCATTGCTGAGACAATATACCCAACGCCCAAAATTAAGGAAGGAAAGGTTTACTTAACTTACAGTTTGTGAAAGTTTCAGTCCATAGTTGGCTGGCTCCGAGGCAGAGTGGCACATGGCAGAGGGCAAACATTCATGGTGGCAGAACACAGCAAAAACAACAAGAGCCAAAAGGGAGGAATGGTGGCAAGCAGCCTTTTTCCCTGGCTTACATTGTAAACAGGCTACCCCCACCCAGGGGGCCTGTAGCGCTCACATAATCTCCATGCTGTCCTCTTCCACAAGCTCAGGATGTATACAAAGCAAGCACTTTGGCTCCCTGCGGAGTTACTTAGCCAAACCTCTAGACTCCCCAAGTTGACACAATGTTTCAAGCATAAAGTGGGCTCATTGCAACTGGTGATTCATTCTCCAAGACTGCTTTGTATAATATGTGGTAACCTGCTAGTCAGTGAAGCCATGAAACCTAAAACTTCTAAACTGCTTTGCTATATGGTGACCAAGGACCTCTCAAGTAAGGAGAGCATTTAGAGTTTTTCAAAAGGAATAACAAGCAATTTTTGAAGGCTGCCGCTTCATCAAATGTGTCTGCATTGAGAACATCATTCTCAGTGCATAATCACATCCCTGAACCTGATACACCCTTACTGTTGTTGAAGTGTTGATCCTGCCTACTGCTTGATGTTTGTCATGGACTTTTAGGAGAGGCTGTGTTCAAAAGGTGGCATGTGTGTTCCTTTTTTGGCTAGCACCATAACTAGACAAATTGATGAAATAGCAGAGGATATTGCAGCACAGTTGTTAGATACGGTTAATGATTCACCGTGTAATCCAAGTTGATGAGTCTACTCATGTTGGCACCAGAGCAACAATGCTTGTTTTTGTATGATATAATTCCAGAAGGGTATACATAGGATATTTTATGTCCATTTTTATTGCTAACCAACCACAGCTGCAGAACTATTCACATTTTTGGATGATTATGTGTTAGGAAAACTGAATCAGTCACTTTGTGTCAGTATATGTATGGATGGGACGGCTGCCATGATGGGGTGGCTTTCTGGTTTCACTGCTTAGGTCAGAGAGGTCACTTCTGAATGTACATCTGCTCGTGGTATCATTTATAGAGAAACGCTGGCTAGCTGAAAAATGTCACTTAGACTTAACAACATTTTGCAAAATGTGATTAAAATTATCAATCACATTAAAATACATGCCCTTAACATATGTTTATTTGTGCAGCTTTATGAGGAGATAGACACAGAGCACACGCATCTTTTTTTTTATATGCAAAAGTGAGATGGCTTTCTAAAGGTAGATCAGTGGCCAGAGTTTCAGAGTGAGTATGTCTTTGATTGTTTGATCAATCTTACATTCTTACATCTAGTGGACTGAGCAACTTCGTTGCAGATAACAGTGTGTAATGTAGCAACCATTGTTAATTCCTATCACTTTATTTTGAGGTCATGTATCATTTTTGTTGTTTTGATTTTGTCTTCATTGTTGTTGTTAGTTTTTTTATCTTTAAAATAAAAAAAAAAGCAGTCACCGCTAGCAGCACATTTCAGAGACATAGAATGGGTGGCAAAACTTGCTTATGTGCATGACATATTTAACCTTCTTAGTCTGTCACTTCAGGTAAGAATGACGATTGTGTTCAAGTCATAATATCAAGTGACCGCATTCAAAACCAAACTGGAATTATGGGGGTAATGAGTGAACATTGAAATTTTTGACATCTTTCAAAAATTAACAGAGACTTTGAAGGAGACTGAGTCAGGGGCTTCTTCCAGCTGGTGCATGAACACGTATCTCAGCTTTCAGAAGAGTTTGAGCGTTACTTCCCAACTGCAAAAGAGCCCTGAATTAGGGAAGAATGGATCCTCAACCCACTTGTGAATAAGATAGGTGAATCAACTTGGAGGATCAGTTGTTTGAGATCACAAAAGACAGTGGCCTTAAAAGTATGTTTGAAGCAACTTTTTATAGCCATATATTCTGGATTAAAGTCAAGAGGGAATATCCTGAAATTTACAGAAGTTAGAACATCCTCTTTCATTTCCAATAGCCTGTCTTTCTGAATCAGGGTTTTCTGCAGTGACAACAACCAAAACAAGATTAGAGAGTAGATTGGACATAGCAACACATTTTGGATGTTCCTAGTAGAGGGAACAGATTTCTACTAAACTAGAAATCTACCAGAATATTTCATCTGGAACAAACTGTCTCTCAGAGTTTAACAGCATCCCCACAAGCCATTCATTGGATGAGCCCAATGAGGAACAAGAGGAGACTGCTAGACTTGATGTTCAGTCTGACTGCCCCACCCCAGCATTGTCCTGTAAGGCAGCAATCCCAAACCTTTTTGACATCAGGAGCTGTATCATGGAAGACAGTATTTCCATAGACCAGGCACAGAGGGGATGGCCTTGGGATGACACAAGTACATTACATTTATTATGTGCCTTATTTCTGTTATGATTACACTATAATACATAATGATATAGTGATACAACTCACTGTAATACTGAGTCAGTGGGGACCCCTGAGTTCGTTTCACTGCAACTGGATGGTTCTATCTGGGGGTAATGAGAAACTTTCATTTGTTATTGAATAAGTGCAATATTGCTGTCATCAATATTGCTGTCATTTGGATATTGTGCTCTCTTAGTTATATTTTCTCTGCAAAATTAAGGTTTTCATAATGTTTGGTATAATGGATAATTTTGGATAATTTCTTAGACATTTTTGGTATTATGTTTTACAGTCTGGTTTCTAATTAAGTGTAGTAGATAGTCTATTTGGATTAAATTCCTGGCTCATCTTGGTGGGTCAGTTTATCAAATACCAATGAGTTTATAAAGCCTCTGCTGTGCTAGTCTGGTCTGCCATTCTTATTTGTCACCCAAGTGAGAAAGCTCCATCTGTGTGCCTCTTATTCCTGCGTGGGTAGTGGGTGGAATTGAGTTCCTCCACAAGCTCACACTGTGAAGGGTGCTTCCTGTTTGTTGCAGGAGGAGAGTGGAGGTCTTAGTTCTACTCACTACGGGGGAGAGTAACTGTGTTGTATGCTTCAGGGCGGGCATAGAAATCAGAGAGCAATCCTTAGGCCCTCTGTAGGGAAGAGCACCACCTTGTTACTGCAGTGGGGGTGTGGGAGTGAAGTTGGGTTCCAGTCCACTTCTATAATTTTCATAATTCAACTACTTACTGAAATCTCTGTCCACTTGTCACTTGTTTCTTGATCTTTTCTAATTGTTATTTGTGCTATTGATTTAACATTTTTTGTATTATCCTTTCTGAGTGCTCATAGGAGGAAGAGGGGATAAATATAGGTAGCCATTTAGTTATCTTCACCTGGAATTCAAGTGTTAAAAATATTAAATTTGAACATGGTTATATTTTAAAGTATGTTTGTAACATTTATATTTATATTAGTAATTTATATTTATAGGAAAGGAAAGTTACCTTTTAATAAGCATGCTAAATAATTAAATATTTTGGTAGTCTTTTAAAGTGATGTTAGCCCTAGTAAACTTTTTTAGAAAGTCCAACACATCATTTTTACAATAATAAAAATACCAAATGCAAACATAATTCAGTGTTTTATGATGGGGGAGTCTCATAAATTGTATATAGTTCATTTTAGTTTCTGTAACAAAATAGCACAGCTCAAAAGGCTTGAAAATAACAGAAATTTATTTCTCACAGTTCTAGAGGCTAAGATATCCAAGATTAAGGCAGTAGGAGATTTGATGTCTATTGAGGACCTACTTCCTAGTTCATAGATTGAGGCCACTTCGCTCACTTTAACCTCACATGGTAGAAGAGGGGGACCTCTAGTCCTTTCAGCCCTTTAAAAGGCACAAACCTCTTTCCTGGATGCTCTAATCTCATGACATAGTCACATGCTAAAGGACCCACTTCCCAGTACCAGCATATTGGGTGTTAAGATTTCAATGTATGCTTTTAGAGGGGAAATAAACATTCAGCTACAGCTACATCTAATATCTAATATGTAATGTATATTGTATATAATATTTACTTTAAGATTTAAGAAAGCTACCAATGTGTAATATAAATGAACACAAATCATTCCTAATAAAATGGTTATAAGTTTAGTTAAACTGTTTTAGAAATGTATGTAACACTGAAAATCTGGCCTAGTGTAGTATTTTTAAAATAGATTTATTGAAGTCTGACTGACTTACCATACATTTCACTCATTTAAAGTGTACAATTTAGTGATGTTTAGTAATTGAAATAGTTTTAACTGAAAAAACGTTATCTTGGATCATCAGTGAGAGGTGATATTTGTTGAACTGCTCTGGCTTAACTTCTGGCTGCTTAAAACTTTTCCTTTCAGGAAACCAGGTATCCTCTTCAAGAAGCTGTTTTGAAAATAGAGTGTGGAGAGGGAACACTTTTTGCTATTTTTTGTCTTGGTAAAATATAAATACCATAAGATTCCACATTTTAAGTGTACAATTCAGTGGCATTAAGTTGTTTCAGAGTTATGCAACTGAAACCGCTACTTACTTCTAGAGCTTTTAATCATCCCAAGCAGAAATTTTGTACTCATTAAATAATAAGTTCCCACCTTCCCTTCCTCCAGCCCCTGCTAGCCTCTTTCTCCAAAGCAGCCTTTTCAAGGTAGCTTCAATGATGGTTCATCACACAGTGCTTTCCCTCTTATATCTAGTTTATTTCCCTGTGCATTTTGGGAGGTAATTTTGTTTGAAATTAGAGAAAGTGATACACCTGTGCCTTTAACCCTATCCTGCCTTCTGTCACCTATTAATGGAGAAAGAAAAACAGAATCTATAAATAAGCCAACATGAAGTTTGAGGTTACAACTATCATACAACTAAAACATTTTTCACCTAATGCTCTTACCTATCTGGGAAAAAATGCTGTTCTTTGAATCTTCAGTGCAAATGTCACTTTCTTGTGATGACTCTGTCCGGCCAAAGTGGTCATACTTTCCTCTCTGGTACTAGTGCACTTTGAACGTACTGTATTTTATGTTGTTTGCATATGTGCCTTCCTCTACTAAGCCGAAAGTAATTAATGCTAATAGACCATGTGTTAGGCATAGTTTGGGGTTCATAATGCTTGATGTCACTACTGAAAATATTTTCTGGAAAAGGAATTAATGTATAATAAAACAGCGTGTAAAACTAAAGTGAAACAGTTCATAAATATTAATGTTATATTTTAATTATGAAGTAAAATATGCATACATATAAATGTATTTTACTAAGTAAGATATTCACTCCATGTTAAAAATTATGTCTTTAATTAGGAATAGGCATAGTATCAGAATTAGAAGTGTAAATCAGTGAACACATATAAGCAGTAATTATTAAGATTGTATTAGAGAATTTATATCCTGTTTATATTTAATAAATTAATTTTGCCCAAGCTTGTATAATATTTCAATTCTGCTATTTGAAATGTCATAATTTATTGCATTGTGTGCTCACAAAAACTCAGAAATAGGAATGCATAGATATTGATGCATAGATATGGATGTGCTATAATTATAAAATGAAATAATGATAATGTTAATTATATTAATAAAATTAAGTAAAATGCTAAACCAGAGTAATATTGAAAATTAGTATCTCATACTAATGTTAACATAAATTGATAAAATAGCAAATAGCAATGTTAGCGAATGTGTGAGAAAAAATACTATAAATCTTTGATGACATTATATTGTTTTCTTCTTATTTTTAGGGTTGCTGGAGAAAGATAACTATTGATGACTTTCTGCCTTTTGATGAAGATAACAATCTACTGCTTCCAACTACAACCTGTGAATTTGAACTCTGGCCAATGTTGTTGTGTAAAGCTCTCATTAAGCTGGCAAATGTTGAGTATGTAAGAAATTATCAGTCGTTTGTCTAAAAACAAAAAGGCAAAACAGCAAATATACATTCATGTTAAATGACTTCTTTTTTAAAAATAAAGTGAAATCCTTTTTCCAAACAGTGTAAACTTTCAAGTATAAAAACCAAGTGTTAAAGCCACCAATTTGAAGTAGTCAACTGTAAGACAAAATAGTCTCAAGAAAAAAACACTAAAAAATTAATTCTATACATAATACTCTCTTGTGATGAATGAAAATGGATCATGGAAACTAATGTTTCCATTTAATAGGAAAAAGAAATTGTTTTGTAAGGGCAAGTATTAGTTTGACTAGTGAGTTATATATTCTGGGACCCAGTTAAAGTTTAAGTTCTGTATATTTTGCAATAATTTAAAGTTTTCAGAATGATGTCAGTGTGTTCTTCCTTAGTCACTTCTGACACATTCATGATGAAAACTACTTATATTTCCTCTACTATGCTTGCAAATGTCTGCTGTGTCCTACATCCCTGCATGATTTGTATACTCAGCATATGAAGCATGCCTGCTGTGTGCTATGCACAAGTGGTCATCTCATTCTGGTTCCAGCAAATGGAAAATGGTTCCAGTTTACAATGGAAAAAAAAAGCTTCGATGCTTGACTTCGGAATGCATGGCAGTTTTTCTCACTGCTTAGTGGGAGAATCCTCACCACACTGTACTGGCCTTGATTGGTACCTTCCTGCGGAGTCAAAGAGAGCAATTCCGTGTTCACCAGAACACACCCACATGTGTTAACAAACCAGTGCAGACTTGCCCTTCCACTCCTGTCGTAGACTTAGAATAGTCAGAAGCTAAGTCTGCTTTGTGTGGATCTTCTTTTTGCTCAGCTTCTTTTTTGTCTCCCAAGGCTACAAAACAAAAACAACCCTCCTAACTGCCATCCTCTTCATCTCTGTTTTCCCTTAGTGGCCCTCAACTTGCTATTGTGAATTTGTTTCACCAGCTTCCAGTCATTAATTTCAGTAACTTTTACAAAACTTTAGCCCAGATCTTTTAAAGTAGTCAAATACTTCTGAGTATCTGCATTGGTGGCAACTGTATGTTTATTTGGAAATAGTAATGTTCCCAGTGTTTCTATTTCGCAGACATAACTTGAAGTTCTGGGAAGTGAAGCAAATCAGTGAGGCATTAAACACATGGCCCTGACGGCAGAAGTAACATTTTGTCTTTCTTAAAGCTGTAGTTCTGGAGAATTTAACTGGAACATGAGTAATAAAAATTATTATTTAAAAAAAATAAACCCAGTTTGGAAATAAAGGGCCAAACCAAGTATAATAATTTTCTTAGGATTTCTAATGGAAACGTGCCCTCCATTGTATAATTTATATTTTTCTCTAAATTCTATTCAGATGTTAGAGTATTTTTTTGCAAAGTTCAGTTTTCTACATTTAAAAAACTAATATATATCAGTTATATTAATATGAGTGTGAAATATGTAAAGAAAAGAGCAATATTTCCATAAGGTTTGCCAAGTCATTTTGTAAATGTGGTTATCCAAAAAGGATTTCAGACTAGAGTTGTTATCTTTGAGATATGTAGGCCTATAATAGTTTATAATTATAATTCATAAACAACAAACCAATTCACATTTATAGATAATGCAGGAATATACGACTAGGATTGTGTAACTTCCTTCTGAAGAAAAGGACCCATGTGTTAGTACAATCAACACTACAAACTGAAGTATGGTCAATAGCATCTGTGACTCCTGGGTGGGAGCGAAGGATGGCATTACTGTGTATAAATATGAATAGAGTAAACTCCTCAAAAATAAATAAAAGGACTGAATGAAAACAGTGATATTTGTCTAATATCACCCTCTGACATTTTGCTATGTGGACAACACACTCTAGTGTAAGAGGATGGACTTTTTATGTTTGTGGTTTCTCAGGAGTTATCTAAGGATTTCTGATACTGTCGTGACTGGCCATGGATGAGACTGACCTAAGATACATCCTCATAGGCATGTGAGATAGTTACTGAGTATAAAATGAGTTATATACTATTTGTGTTACATAGTTTATAATATATGAGTATGCTTTATGTACTATATATACATTAATTTAAACGCTTTTTCAAATAAGGTTTATATGTATGCTTTATAGGTATATTTTAAATTTAATCATTGGACCTCCTTAAGTGGTTTAACAAATCATCTTGCTGCTAAGATAGTGTTTTCTTGTAGTGTGATATAGAACAAGACCTCCTTCATTGGTTATTCTGTTTTTCATTAGTGATTTTTAGTCCTTTTTTTTTTTTTTTTGTCTTTTTGAGATAGGGTCTCGCTATGCAATTCAGGCTGGCCTTGAGCTCACTTTGTATCCCAGGTTGGTCTTGAACTCACAATG